TTTCCCATTTGGAAAAAACTGTTCCACAAGTGTCGACTTAGATTAATTTGTAACATAGACTTAACCCTTAGCTCCCTTTTTTCCAACCTCAAATCACCCACTAGTTTGGAACGCACATCAAATATTGTTTATAAATTAAAATGCAATGATTGTGATTCCATTTACATAGGTGAAACTGGACAAAATTTATAAAACGACTAAAACAACATGATAATAACTCTAAAAACCCACGACAAAATCAAACTATGATAACAGAAACATATAAAAAATTTTAAACATTCTTTGACTTTTATAACGCTAGTATACTTTATCACGAACGGAAAATTATTCAGAGAAGATTTGCTGAATCTTGTCTGATCAGCACCTCGAAATTTTGTATTAATAAACGCCATGATGCCTCCTTACTCTGTGGAAATTATCAGGTGATACTTAATAATATTTCCAAATTTGTTTCCTCTTAACCTACGTAATTCCGAACCTGTAAACCTACCCTTACGCGGTCCGATCCCGAACTTTGATTTTAGCCTCTCACCCATACTTAGAAACACTGATTGTAAAAAACCCGCAAACTATTCCCTCAAACGGTCTCTTCAAATAATTTTTTAAACACATGTTACTACAGCCTCGGGCTCTGTCACATAAAACTACGTTCTCTGTGCAAAAGATATTATATATTTCACAAATATTTTGCCATACTCTGTTCAACAAATTAATATATAAAAAACAAGTTAATGTATATATGATAGTGCAAATTGTGTTCCTAGCGCTAGCTACTGATGTAAGACCATATTTATGTAAGTTACCTTCATTGTCTATATATGTGTATGTGTCTGTATTGCATATGTATGTATGTGTATGTATATGTATATTATATATGTATGTGTATGTGTATATGTATATTATATATGTATATATATATGTGTGTATGTATGTATATATGTATATGTGTATGTGTATGTATGTATATATGTGTATATATACATATGTACATGTCCGTATGTATATGTTTATATATACGTATGTTCGTATGTATATATGCATATGTGTACGTGTTTTTACATGCATATCATATATACATGTTTGTTTGTGGTATATTTATGTATATATATACGCTTTTGTATGTTTATATATATTCTTTTTACTTTTCATTTCTCTGTTTATCTATCTGTTAAGTATAATTGTTATTGCTATAATTATATTACTTATATCTATAGTTCTTTTTCCAATTTCTGTCATTTTTCCTAGATTATATTAATTTTTCAATATTCATTCTGTAGATCCACTGATGATGACATAAAATACTATGTCGAAAACGTTTGGAAAAATTAAAGATTAACTTCTAAATCTTTGCCTTTATTTGATGTATGCCCTTGAAGAACTTACTTCATATTTGCAACATCAAAATTAACTACTTTAACATATATAAATATATATTATATATATATAGATTAAATAGATATATATAGATATATATCAGAGATATAAATAGTATATATATATAGATATATATTAAATAATGATTATAGATATATATATATATATAATATAATATATATGATATATATATTCTATAATATGAAAGTTTTGTTGACGTTGTACATAGACATATTTTTTGCAGCCCAATCGTCAAAATCAAAAAAAAAAGATTAAATAGAAAAATTATTTATTCATTAACGTTTTGACACTTGATATTGTTGTCCTCCATCCAGTAAATTTAAAAAACATATTACATAGATACAAAAATTGATAATAAATATATAAAAAAGGTAAAAATTATATACATACCACCAAACCAGAAAAATACAGAAAAAAAGTTATCACAGAGAAGATATTCTTGGATGAGCCTCGGATGAACGGGTGTTTATGATAATATTTATCTATTAATTATTTTTTTTTTTCATAAAAAAGAAAAAATACTGACTTTGGTGCGTGTTTCCAATTATTAAATATTTACATGTTAATGTGTGTAAATGATAATCTAAGAATTTCAAAACCACTAACGATGACGTATAATTTTACGTCGAAAATGTATGGAAAAAATAAAAATGTTTTAAAAATGTTTACCTTATTTATATTTTTTTCTTGATGTTACGCCCTCCAAGAAATTAATCATATTATATATATATATATATATATATATATATATATATATATATTCATAAATGAGTCTATCTGATTTATTTATCCACATTAGAAACATTAACTGTCATGTAGACCTAAATAATGAAGCATATAGCACGACATTCACAAATTTCACGAAAACAAAAATTATTAATGATAATGTGAATAACTGTTTGTTGGAAGGGTCTGCTTGTCGTATCATTATTTCTGCATCAAATGGGAGCAGTGTCCTTTTCAGACATGAGTTAAACAACAAAAGAAAGGATATTATATATATATATATATATATATATATATATAATGTATTTTATTCGAAAGATGGTCGTTTACAATGCAGGACGCGTTGATAAGAACGTTTTCCGTACCACCGGACATAAAATATAATACTTGATCGCCAGCAGATATCCCTCGACTACCACGGTGGTGCGTATACATTTGTTCACTGACTTATTATAACGCCATTTCGCATGTTCAACAAAGCGAATGGACGTGCTTGAATATTCGAAAGGGAAAAATAAAATAATTCGGTCGTAGGATATGTCGTAAATCAGTATATATGTATACAAATGCATAATGATTATTTTACAAGGATTATATTGCTTTACGCCTTTTAGCAAATTCTTGGTAGGTACTTCTCGTTCTTGAGTATTGCATGTTTTAGTTTATTCAAAGTGCAACAATTTTTTAAATTGAATTTTGCCAATATTTTTCACTATAAATCATAGATAAAATAATTTACTATATATGTACAAATATTCAGAATGATTTGTTTTACTATTTGCACCCTTAAGTGAACTGCTAATACTTTCCATTCTCATACACGTATTTGTCTATATAATTCCCACAAGGAGAGCCTGAGATGTACAGTACGTCTGAGGTTCTCCTTGCGAGCATTAAATGTATGTTTTAGCATTTTGAAAAACCTTGCATGGTTATAGAGTTAATAGTTGAAGCAAGAGTTTAAAAAAGAGTTTAAAATATTATAGGCCTATGAACAGTGGTTTAATTACGAAAATGAATAAAAAAATTTAACACGTACAGTGTTCTGTATTATTATGTCTCAGTAGCTCGGTCACTTGCTTCTACATTTTGCCCTTGTATTCATAAATAATAAAGTTATACATGATTGGGTTTATATCCCATTAAAATAATTAATTTTTAACTAATTTCAAATTGTTAATATATAAATTTTTGATTATAATTGAGATTATGTATGAGGTATAAAACAATACTAATATGTAGTAGATGACAATAATAATAAATAGTAAATTATATGATTTCAATATCAAATATCTAATTACATGAAAACAGTATACATTGTCTGTAATCAAGAAAAAATAAGATTTGCCCGAAAAATTTGGAAAATTTAATAAGTTTTATTCAAATGCTTGAGAAATTTAATTAAGCTTGTAATTGCAATTGTAAATGAGGTGTAGAATTTATAGCACATTGAGATCTGAAGCTTTATATGAAAAATGATACTTAGAATTAAATATTAAACACAAACTGTAAAAAAGTGCAATTTTTTTACAAGTCATTTTATTACTAATAATATCAAAATGAACCACAAATAATATCAAAAAATAAATCATACAATAATATCAAAAATTACCATAAAACTTACATTTTAATAAAATGTAAGAAATGTTTTTTTAATAAATTTAAGAAATGTATTTATTTGTGAAGATTTACATAGCTTAGATTTAGTGCGATTTTATTTAAATAAATACTACTTATGAATACAAATATTCTCATCGATCTTCTACTAATATAATTTGCAAGATTATAAGTAATGAATTTACATTATTCGAAACGATAGTATACATCTACGAATACCATAAAACTTTTGTTTTTTAAATGAAATGTAAAAAATGGTTTCTAATATATTTGAGATATTTATATATTTGTAAGGATTTATATATAAATAAATTTGTAGGAATTGCAGCTTAGTTCTAGTACGACCTTGATTTTTATTTAAATAGTTACTTGTTATCATAAATTTGAAATAAATATTCTTATCGATCTTTTACTGATATAATTTGCAAGATTATAAATAATGAATTTAAATTATTCAAAACGCGTACGAATATTTTGAATGCATTTCGCACTAATTATAAATTTGTTATACAAACTATGTTCAATAATCCAGCTGTAAAATTATCATTGTTTTATCACACAAAATGCATTGCATGAATACTCAAATGCATATTAATTATTCATTTAATAAGTACAGAGAAACATTAAATAGATTAAACACACAACAATTGTATCATTTCGCTGTTTTGAATGTTGACTCAGCAATTAACGGTATCGCAAATTAATCTCTAGTGTGATAAAATAAATATAGAAATTTGTAATAAAATATTATCTGCGTGCTTGGAATTGTGTTTGTTCGCAATTGTAAATTAATTAGTCAAAAGTGTCCAATGTGTGGTTGGTTTAATAGTTTTTAGAGTATTTTTCGATTAGCGCTCGTTGAAAATAATTTGGAAATACAGCAGTTTGTAATCGTATAAAAAATCCAATTAACACGTTTTTCAATAATACCATAATCTACTTTTGTTCGGAAAGAATTTAAAAAATTCTGAATTATCGAAATAAAATCTACGAAAACAGTAAAATTTTGCTATATGATCTGCTATCTT